CATAAAAGCTTATTTTTAACCCCCCCCCCCCTCAATACATAAATATTTATCAGTAAAATGTGAATATTGGCTTCTTTTATCTCTCACGGATATGAGAACATAGCACCCAAAGTACAATATGTAAAAACATCAGGTTTTGAAAATAAGGTTACTAAAATGTAAAGGAAATTCTCAATGCATGGAATTGAAATAAGTATTTTTAAAATGCCTACAAAAAAAAACCCAAACAAACTAAATACACACAAAACAGAGGTAAAGGGGTGGGGGTGGGTGGGTGATGACTTTTAAACAGTATCTGCAACATTTTGAACAAAGTATTTCTTCCTGTTATAAGACCGTGGTTAAACCTGTCAGTAGGAACTATCAGATATATTATTGGAATTGTTCCGTCACCAGTAGTTATAGTTCAATTCCCGAGCTTGCGCGGAATTTCATCAAGTACATGCAATCATAGAATTTTAGAGAGATTATCAGAATTTATATCAGGTTTTATCTTGATTTTTTCATCATAATTAACACCAATGAACAAAAAGATCAACGCATAATAAATTATAAATTTACATATTTTTTCCTTCTCTCTCTTTTAATTTTGTATTGACTATTTGAAAAATGCTTACTTGCAAAAAAAAAAAAAAAAAAAAATAAATAAATAAATAAAATAAAAATAAATAAATAAATAAAAAAGAAGTATGAAATTAAATCCAAAACATCCATTTCAAAGAACAAGGTTCACTTACGGCCTTTTTTGGCCCTGTGAATTTCTGAAAAACTGAAACTGCTTAGTTTTAGTTGACAATGCATTACATTTCATTAAGACCTTTGGCGATTGCGATTCTACCAAAAATGACGTAATTTTCTGGCTAGTCAATGCATTATGACGTCATGAAATGCGTCATTTTCCTCATATCCTGAACAATTTTTAAAGCTATTTTTCGATATTTAATATAGAGCGCAATCTCTGATCTAAAATATGCAATTATTTACTGACAGAACCGTTTCTGAGGATCACAAAACATGTTTTATTTTTTAGATCAGAGGGTGCGCTCATATTATTTTTCTTCTCTGAAAGTACTTAAATATACATGTTTTCCTTAAAATTCAAGAACATTGCAATTCCATAAAGCTTGTTTTCCAAGACCTGGGCTTTAAGGAGAAAAATTTTAATAGGAAATGAAAGCACTAAGTCTCTACTTTGTCTTGATGTTTGAAATGGAACATAAGGTGTTAGTCAATAAATTGGTATATCTACAGGGCCATTTTATGCATAAAGTGAACCTAGCTCTTTTTATTATCTGTGTGTAGGAATGATCTTCAACTGTATAAAAAACAAGAGGCCCAAGGGCCTTAACGGTCACCTGAGTATAATACAACAATTTCGAAGTTAAATACACTGATAGATAAAGCAATGCGCCCTAAAGCAAGAGAAGTAGGAAGATCAGGATCAACAAAATAATTAGTCTAGTATTCAGTATCAACTCATAATTTAAGTTCTAATCTGTCCCCCACTTAACACTATCACCATGCAGACTATTGACAAACTATTAGTTCTTCTGTACTATTTTTAAACCCATATTAAGACCTCTAGCATTGACCTCTCTTATGGTCTTTGAAGAACTTTTAATAAGATAAGTTATTTTTGTCTCATTTTTATTTATCTATTACTTACAGGTCTACCTGATTATTAAAACTAAAAAAGTACTTTTTTAATTATACGATAAACATTCTTGCATAATTATCTTATTCTATTAACCTTTCAAATACATTATTTACAGTGATTAATTATCAAAGGTGAATGGAAAAGGGGAATAACTTCTCTCAGTAGAATACAAATTAATAGAGCCCTGCCCAGGACCAGAATGCTTAGACGAATGGTCCAGATGTTTAAAAATCTGGTAGACATACACTTACTCATATCATTTAAACTTTTACTCAGTTTGCTTCCGATATGCCCAGAAGCAGAGAAAAATTTCACAGGTACAAAGCATTTTCACTACAGATTCAACAAAGCCTTACCCTAACACCAGAACCCAAGACCAAGGGTCAAGAAATTTACAAATTTGGAAGAGTTACCCTCATCATCATAACTATGGACTTCAAAGAATTAACACTTTTCCACTATATTATCAAAAGCCCCCCCCCCCCCTTCGTTATGCCAGAACCCCTGACCCTAGGACCACAAGATTTAAAAATTCTGTTCAAAGCTCCCATTTTCATCATAGCTAAGCAATTTATTTATCAGCTCAACACTAAGGAGCAGACAGGATTAATTAATAGAATTAATGCTTTTTCACTATATAATCAATAGAGCCCCCCCCCCCTCCTCAAGAACCCCAAAAACTGAGGCCATATATTTAAAAATTTTGGAAGAGGCATCCTTGTCTATCATAATCATGCACTTAGTTTGTTTAAATAATCTCCAGTAGCAGAGAAGAAGATTTTCAAAGAATCAATGCATTTTCACTATATAATCAATAGAGCCCCACCCTAAAACCAGAACCCCCGACCCTGGGGCCATGAAATTCACAATTTTTAAAAAGGCATCCTTATGCATCATAACCATGCACTTAGTTTGTTTAAATAGTCTCCAGTAGCAGAGAAGAAGATTTTCAAAGAATCGATGCATTTTCACTATATAATCAATAGAGCCCCGCCCTAACACCAGAAACCCGACCCTGGGGCCATGAATTTCACAATTTTGGAAGAGGCACTCTTGCTCATCATAACTATGTACTTAGTAACTTTATTTAATACTCAGGAGCAGAGAAATTTTCAAAGAATTAAAGCATTTTCACTATATAATCAATAGGGCCTCACCCTAACACCAGAACCCCTGACCCAGGGGCCATGGGTTTCAAAATTCTGGAAGAGGCCCACCTCCTCATCATAACTATGTACTTAGTTTATCACCTTAATACACAGGAGCAGAGGAGAAGATTTTCAAAGAAATAATGCATTTTCACTATATACATGTAGTTGATAGAGCCCCGCCCTAACACCAGAACCCCTGACCCTGGGGCCATGAATTTCACAATTTTGGAAGAGGCACTCTTGCTCATCATAACTATGTACTTAGTAACTTTATTTAATACCCAGGAGCAGAGAAGAAGATTTTCAAAGAAATAATGCACTTTCACTATATGATCTATATAGCCCCACCCTGGGGCCAGAACCCCTGACCCTGGGGCCATGAATTTCACAATTTTGGTAGAGGGCTCAATGCTTATTACAATGATGCCAACAGTTTGACTGCTTGATGTCCAGGAGTAAAGAAGAAGATTTTTAAAGATTGCATTATTTTTGGTGGTTTTAGCCCCACCCCTCAGGCCCCAGGGGGGCAGGGACCATGAAATTCACAATTTTTGTTCCCCTTCACCTATAGATGCTATATACCAAATTTGGTTGAAATTGGTTGAGCGGTTCTAGAGAAGAAGTTAAAAATGTTCAAAAGTTAACGCACGACGGACGACGCACGACGACGGACAAAAGCAGATAGCAATAGGTCACCTGAGTGACTCAGGTGACCTAAAAATCCCACTTTGCTTTAAAAAATCGCATGGATTAACATGCACCTTGGCGTCTATACTTTGTTACTCGTTGTTTACAGAAATGTAGGTCATTTGTCAGGTTATTCAATTACAGAGCGGCATTGAATGAGACTGAGTAGTCTGGACAAAACAAACTAAATTAGCTTGCTGACGTCCAGGACGTGAAGACGATTCGTAAGGATCGCTTTAATATTCGCACGATTATAATAGGCCAAAACTTGAATTTTTTTCAGAATGTTTTTAATTAGCAGAACTCTCAAAGAACGAATTATTAAATTACTTTATAAGCCCCCCAAAATGTTGTTGATTATATAATTCCATTGTAAAGAAACAAAGACCGTGGGCGTCGTGGGTATTACCTTCTTGTTTCTAGTTGCTTCGTAAAGGTTGTTTGTGGTTAAAATATACATCACACAAAGACATCAATGCAAATGTGTATCGAAGAAAAATACTTCTTTTAAAATCAATCAATTTTATTACAATAAATCTTTTTTAAGTAGGTTCACAAACGTAAATGTAGAAAAAGTTTTTTTTTCCGAATAAAGTAACGGATTACTTTGTGAACAAAAGAAGGTATTTATTGATAGGGTCTATTACTTGCATAATTTGTGGTTGGCAAAAAGAACACGGAGTGTTTCATTCATCGTTTATATGTTTTAACGTATCTTGTAAAATTATAAATTTATTCTTGTAAAAACATAAAAAGTGATAAATTAAAATAAAAAAGCAAACTATTTCCACACCTAAAAGGTAAGTACCTTAAACATAAAAAATTCAAAAAAGAAAATTACCAAGGAATTTATATATTTTATCAAGTTAAAGACCCTTGCACTGTTCATTAAAGGTTTAAAAAAAAACACTTAACAAATGGTTTAGAGTTATTTCTCAAAGTTTGAATGCTATGGACTTCAATAAATGATGTTATGTAAACAGTTAATCATCCAATCAAATCATCAATATCCAGATTTGATGAAAATCTACACTTAACTTCACAATCTGAAGTTGTAAGATAGCTATTGATAAAACCCATTAATCAATCATATACGATGTATTTCGATGATTTGCACAGTTTGCATGTTTCCTTGTATAATTGAAGTCTAGTCACGATTCAGACTCGATCTGACGCAATTATTCCAAGCCCCAACAGGAAAAAAATATACAACGAATCTCTGTGGTGGGACCAGTGTCTGTGGCAAACAAGGAGTCCAATGTGCTATCTTTTATCTGTTATAGACGTGTAAAACAGATCATTGTTCTCTAAGAGAAAAACAATCTTGACCACATGGAAATAAAACCCAAAAGCCAGGGCCATACGATATATTTGATTCCAATAACCAAATCTATTTTTTGGGTGAAAATTACAAATTTTACACCTTTTTTTATTAAATATAACTGTTTCTGATACATCTGAGACAAATCAACATCTTCGTTTCAAACATATTTTAATAAATAAATCATCAAGCGACACATAAATACTCGTAAAAATAAATTTAGAACTAGCGACAATTAATAGCATTCCAAAATAGTACAAGGCAATAGAAAACTTACTTTAAAAACCAATAGATTAATATTTACATAAAGAAACGAACTTTGTGATAGAGAAATAATTAAACAAAAGCAGTCATGAAATTGGCTTGTATATTAACCATTTAGTGACATATCGAAGTTCCCTAAAAGAATTAGTGATGCAAATTAAGATATAATTTTCACCAAAAAAATATTTCTTAAAGAAAGTGTCGTTTAGATAAGCAAATTCAATATCACAGCAAAGAGCACAAAGATGGATTTCAGTTTTTTGAGATTCTAATATGTCGATAATTATAATGACATATGAATGCACAAGGGAATCATTTTTATCGCTTATAAGAGGTGACTTTAATATAATGTTAATATCGTCACTTTTGAAATGTAAAAAATTCAGCAGGAATTTTTTTTTTAGTAGTTTTCTCCAGCACAAATAAAAAAAATCACTGATTGAAGAATGAAATAAATTCTTCAACAATAAATAAAAATTATGTACGAAAACATTTGTGATACTTAATATTTTGTTAGTTTAAAAAATGCAGCATTTTTGTTGAAATATGCTTTTTCTTCATTTATGACTATGTATTCTGTTTAATTGTGTTAGTCAGGTAATGGAGAATGATCGTCGATATGCTACTCTCATAAAATAGTCATAAAAATACTGGAAACATGATCTGTCATAGGTTTTTACCTTCTGCCCTGGCTCGTGCATAATGTGTATTTTTACCACCTCATATATATTCCAAACATATTTACATAACAAATTACACCATAGATCATTCTCATCCAAAATGTATTTCTTTAGTTTGACAAGTAATAAGATAAATTTTGCATTAAAAAGGTTGGGACAAAATTAATTTAGAAATGAATGGAAATTTGTAGAGAAAACCGACCCATTAACATTGCCAAAAGTGTCCCTTATTCAGTTGATCCACCGTTGTAGGGTGCCTCATCCATTCTATCATATTTCGAATGGTAACAAAATAAACGTCTTTATATTCACCAACCTTGTCCAAAAACCTTTGAAGTCCAATTAGATTATCATTAAAGAAAGGATGTGTAAACCAAATATGTCGAAAATGTAAACCGAGTGGTGCCTTATTGGTAGTATAATGTTGGGTAAATTCTTTCCATAAAAAGTTGAAGGTGTCATTTGCAGTTGTAGGTGAATTGGTGCATCCATCAACAAAGTTACAAGGATAAAGTCCGAGATAATCCAAAACAGGAGAAGTGGGCACTTCCCATAATCCACTGTAGGATTCTTTCGGACATTTGTTTATAATACATTCCTCTCCATTGTTGAAATCCATGGTGTAAGGCCAATATCGAGGGCCTTTTTGATATTGAGTTGTTAGCGTAGCATCATAAACGTACTGGTAGTCTCTTAGAATCCTGAATTGTTCATCACCTAGTGGTTTCAAATTAGGACTTCTCCAGCCCTGGATTATATCAATACCCATTCTCTGTAAAATTGAAATTTGAGCAATCATGCCTTCCTCAAAAATCGACATATTTGCCGTCGGCATTCCACCATATCCTTTAAGTGCTATTTCATTGTTGTCGTCATACAGTCGTTTAATAAGGTTATTCGATGATCCAGCTTGCGAAACAAAGAAGGTCGATACAACGGGGCAATCGTTTGGATTCTTTCTTGAGTTTCCAATTATCTGATAATACTTCTGATATATTCTTTCTTGAATAGGCCCGTCAAAAGTGAGATAGACGAATTGCGGAGTGTCTGTCCAATCCATAGTTTTTGGTGGAATCTTTCCTTTACAGAAACAAGACGGCAGTTGACAATTCGCACTCTGCATGCATCCGTCACCCAGTGGCTGAATTGTAGTTGGTGCATTATTGTCTACGTCAGGACGAGGTGTAATTTCAATAAAACCCTCGGCAGCTACTCGGGGTGTAGACGAGAAAGCTTGTAAAGCTTGCATTATGTTGTAATTGTTAGCAAGGTTTTCCCTCATACTTTCAGGATTCAATGAATTTGATGTTAAAACAAATGGCCCACCTGGATTTGCTGGATGTTTAGGGATGGATATTGTAGTTGGAACAGGAGTAGTAGTAACAGTAGTTGTCGGAGATAATGTTGTATTGGTGGTGGAATCAAATTTCTTAGTGGGCTGTACCCAGGACCAGAAATTCTTTTTCGGAGGTGATGGCAATCTGTTTGGAGGAGGGGGTGGGACCCAGGCAGGTTTTCTCGTGGTTTTTGGAGGGTCGGGTTTCCACACAGGCATTTTGATTGTTGTTGTTGGTGATGGTTTTGGTGTGGTTGTAGTTGTAGTGGTGGTCGATGAAGTAGTGGTTGTTGATGATTTAGGGTGTTGAGGCGCTGGTGCCATTGGTCGTTGTTGTTGCTGTGAATGGTGAGCAGATGGTCGAGATTTCGGGTTTGGACATGACCATGTATCTAATGTATCCAGTTGATTCATTGGTGTTGGATGTTCCATCCATTCTAATGCCTGTCTCACAGGAACAATGTACACATCGTCGTTTTTTAATATATCGTTTATAAATCTATCCATTGCATCTAAATGAAATTTTGTATAAAACCACCCAGCGTGCATGTGAAGCCCAAAGGGGGCTCTGTTGCCTTCATATGAACTTTTGAAATTCTTGAACAGGTATTGATAGGCTTCCTCTTCCGTCTTTGGAGCATTGTAACAACCATCTACATAGCCACATGGATATTGATCTTTATAATCCATTAATGAGTTGACTGGAAACTCCCAAAACCCTCTGTGGGACCTTTTAGGACAAGGCTTTATTTGACAGTAGAATGTCCAACCATAGTCCAGGGTAAACGGAAAAGGACTTTGTCCACTCATTCTGGTTCTTTTATAGGTGAGAGAAATGTCATATCTGTATCCTAATCCCTTTAATACTTCAGCTTGTTCGTCCCCTGCTGTCTCTAGGAATGGACTACGCCACCCGATTATTTCGTCTAGAGGAATACCAGCAAATTTGGCAATATTTCTCTTTTGTTTATCTGCTTCGCGTAGAAGATCTTCACGAGTTTTAATATGCGTATGAGTAACACTGTGTACAGCAATCTCATGACCTTCTTTGTAATAACGTTTAACCAGAGGATACTGTGTATATGTATGAGAAACATAAAGAGTCATTCCAATGGGACATCCGTTCGGATTCCGCCTAGACGTGTGATTAAAAAGGCGATCGTAATAAGCTGGAAGCACAGTTGTTAGGGCATCGTCAAATCCAAAGTATACAATTTGCGGCATTTTGGCAGTATCCATTTCATGTTTGAATGTGCTACAATAGCATCCAGGAAGAACACAGTTTTCACCTTGTTTACAAGTACTGGACACACATAGAACGATTCCAGGCAGAATGGAGAAAATCAAAAGTCTAAATTTAAGCATTGTTTTAAGTATCTTTTGTTTATCCAAATAAATAAAACTAAAATTTTAATTCTATCGAGCAAACAGGATCGGTGGTGGCATTCAAATTAAGAATACTTCTGTTTCTTACCGACCCTCTTTCTCGTCTGCCGATCTGCCGTATGACTTAGACAACGACAAGCCACTGCTATTTGAATACAATCTCACGCCTCAGGGCAAACACGTCAATTAATTAAGTGAATGCCACCGTCTCTTATCTTAAATAAGAAATATGCATCGATTCGCATGCGTTGATATTTTTTTGTAGGATTTCTCTCAAGTCGGTTGGGTAACGGACTATCGTGACGCCTTTTTACCCGATAAGCCCCAAAAATATCCATCCCATTCTACTACACACAATGTATTGAAATTCCGTACGTTGTTATAGCAGAAGATGTTTAGACCAATGTTTGATCAATCTGGTCCATTTAGTCAAAAATAATGGCGAAACTTTTAGACAAGCGTCTCCTCATTTCTACGGAACCTGGCGCGTTCTCTGTACTCTTTAACTCTGAAGAAAACCTTTTCAAAACATAAAACTGATAATCAGATTATTCACAGTACATTTAGAATAAAGTACATGCCAAAAACTAACACTTGCCCTCTTTTTTATCAATGAATTCATACATAAATATATATATAGAGAGAGAGAGAGGAGAGAATATGTATATATATGTAGAGAGAGAGAGAGAGAAAGAGAGACTTTTGGAATGCATTTATTTATATAATAATTCTGCATGTATGTATTTGAATGCTTGATAAGGTTTTACACATTACTCTATGTAATATTACTGGTAGCTTTATTCAGTTCAAGTTATACTCGAGCTTTAAAAAGGGAAGAAAAAGGCGTAATACATATTATGAAATCATATTATGCATTTTCATAGTGATGATTGGCACCATACTACTTTGACAATTTGGACTTTGATGAAAAACGTTCTGTAAATAAGTTTAAAAACGGGGAAAAATATAATAACAGGCCTAATATGCCTTTTATCTGCAGTTTTCATTTTTTTTAAAAATTAAATATATGAAATGTAAAAGAAACATAATTCCAATTCCATTTCTAACAACAATGTCAACAGTGTAAGGAAAAAATGATAAGTTCTGTTAGAGGAGAGACGAAGTTTTTTTTTTTTTTTTTTAGATAAATTTATCTTGATTGAATGGGGAAAACACTTTTCGATAGCGGTCTTACAAGGAGTGTCTGCTACAGGTACATCCTTGTCTATACCTATAGACAAGGACATGTATGTGCATCACGTACAAGTTATTCAATGACATACTTTTAAATTTCCAAATTGCAAAGCATTAAACGTTTACATTTTGATCTGTGGGGGAAAACAGGTCACACCTGTAAATATATGTTGGATAACATGCATGTTATCATAATTTTATAAAGAATTGTAACAAGCAAGAAAAATACGGAAGCCTATACATGAACTATCAAGAATGTCAATTTTGTTAAAACGAATAAACTTTGTATAACAGAATTGTTGAATTTGTTATAAAAGAATTTTTTTTAAAAAAGTTTAAACAGACTAAAACGAATTCCATATTTGTTATAACGAAATAAATTCCTTCAAAGGAATTCTAAATTTGTTCAACCGAATTCGACATTTAGGGCCTGTAGAAAAATATGAATTTTGTTATAAAGAATTGTCGATTTCGTTAAAACGAATTAAATTTGTTATATCTAATTGAAGATTTGGCTTAATAAGCCAATCTTATTCGTTCAAACAAATTTCTGAATTCGTTCGAAAGAATTCAACAAACTTGTTATAACAGATTGAATTCATTATAAGGATTTGAAAAAAAAAAAATAATGATATCACAAACCAAATTCGTTTTAACGAATTTGACAATTTATTATATTGATTGCAAGAATATTTTGATAGGTCCTAAATGGGCTTCCGTAAAAAATGCTTTATCCATTCGTTAAAATATATAAGCATGCCGAAATTAGGCAAGAAATTTCTGATTTTCACTGATATTTGCAATTTTACATAATAAGTAACGCTCTTTATTTGGATTCAAGGGAAGTGTGGGTGTTGATATATAAAATTCCACCGTATGTCCAGATCAATGATGACAAAGCTTTATAATTAAGCTTACAGTGTTTATTATATCTCACAGGTAGAGAAGTAAGTCATATATCAAATATTTTTAAACCTCAGCTAATACAAATTTGAAGATAAGAGTAAAGAAAGCAACTGGACGGTTTTTCAGTATAATGATCAAAAGACTTCCTCTTCCGGATTTGTCACTGTAGTGGGAGTAAGTCAAAACCCACCTGACATCTCCATACAATGTCGTGAGAAAATTAACATCCTGAATGTATAATTTCACGCAGTGATTCCATACATCACGTTGTTTATGGACGACCAAATTATAAATTTAAACAATTTTGTCTCACTCTTCATCATAATATTCTATTTGTATGTTAACGCCTTTCACGATAAAGTAATTTTAGGTGTAAATACAGGTGTTCAAAATCCATTTGTATAAAGAGATGTAGACATCTCTGTTTCAAGTAAAATAATTTGTTAGCAATTCATTTTCTCCTTTTGATGATGCAACTACAGTAAGACAAACTGTTTCTGCAAATTACTATCATTGACCTTGCTCGACTTTTTTGATCTTAAAAACACCATACTTGTGTACAAAGAGACAAAACTGAAACAGTATTTACCAGGCATTAATTGCATCTTGATCCAATAGCCTGTGTGATTTTTAAAAATGAAAACTCGGAAATAATTTACTTACTTGTGTTCATATGAAACGGAATTAATTAATTTTTTTTTTAAATTGTATGAAGAAGTCTCTTGCTGTGGCCCTCAATTCGACATTTAAATTTATCGACGGCGTTTTATCAATTAACAATATCCCTTTTCATTCTTACGTTGATTCGACATATCCCTTTGAACTCATCATCACCGTCCTGCATATGGAGTTAATGCCTCACAGTTGAATCGATGCGCAAGAGCATGTTCTATGTACGGACAATTTCTATAACGAGGCAAGCTATTAACAAATAAGTTGATCATACAAGGATATCAACAGAATCGATTGAAGTCTAAATTTCGCAAGTGACCAGTCGACAGGGAATGCTTACTTCTCCGTGGCACCTGATATCACCTCTGATGTTTTCTCTACTCATAATTTTAAATTATTTCAATGGATTTTTAAAGTTAAATACTGTTCATTATCTTTATATTCCATTTGCAACAAGTTTCTGAAAACTTTTTATTACATTTTTAAATTAAATGTTAGCCCTGATTCCAGAAAAAATACAACATACTTAATTGAAAAATGCAGTTGTACTAAAATACAAGAGGCTGAAGGGCCTTAACGGTCAAATGATCGTGTATAAAACAACACTGTAAATTGGGATCAATGAAATGACAATTTAATAATTATATAATAAAACAAGATAAACTGATAGATGAAGTTACGTTGCTTAAAAGCAACAGAAATAGAATCAGGGATCAACTAAACAGTTAAACTGAAAATCAGCAATCACTCAAAAGTTACATTTATGTACACTCTATCACCATCACCAAATATAGTGCTTGAGCATAATAAACAGTTAATTAAACCTTTTACATTGGGCCTCTCTTGCTCTTTGGATAACAATTAATGTGGACAAACGGGAGTTTGTGTCTTAGGCCTATTTTTAGTCATCTATCATTTTCAAGTATACCTGACCATTGAAAAATAGGTATTTTTTTTATATTATACATTAAAATTTTTTGTATGATTCTTTTATTTATTGACATAACAACTATATTATTTACATTGATTAAATATCATAGATGAAAAAAACCCATAGAGAAATGCATGTAATTCTCTCAAAAATTGATTTCAAATTCCTTACATGATTACGACATACAGAATCAACCAGACCCAACCTGACACCCAAGCAGTCCCAGAAAGCAGTCCCGGGACTGGGACTGCTCTAGAAAGCAGACCCAGCAGTCCCTGGGACTGCTATCTGGGACTGCTTTGTTCACTCATTCTTACTGTGTAATTACTAAATGTCTTCACGGGCTGTAAATTTACACAGTTGTAGTCTAGAATTAATTTTTACAAATGAAAATAGTTAAAAAGGAAGTCAGGGAATGATTTTTATCCCTTAAATTAAAATTCAATACAGGTGTTTGAAAAAAAAAATTATCTAGGCCTATTTAATAAACTTTAGCTGTCAAATTATGTATTCAAAGTTTGCATTAGCACTATTTAAAAAAAAAAAACCAAACAAATAAAAAAACACAAACAAACTTGTCATTTCAGTAAGATACTGTACTGGATTTTTTTCTTAATTGAAAAAGTTAATACCATGCTTAAAATAGAGCACTCCATGCTATTTTTACCGCCCTCAAATAAGACCTAATAATTTATTAAATGACCATAAAATAGAATTATTCTACCATTCTTCTGTTACATAAACAATGTGAACAATAATTGGGGGATTTATTTAGGAATTAGTTTTTAATTTATAAACAATTAAGTTATTAAAAGAGTACATTTATATATATTTAAAAAATAAACATTTGAAAATATCGGGAATCGTGACTTATTTCTTATTTGTTTTGTTTGTGTTTACCTGGCTGATTAATAAAAAGCAATACAGTTGTATAAAATGATGCCAACACCTGAGGTTTCAATCGCCTTTGGGCATAATTAGCAGAAAGTCAATGCATGTTATTTGGGTATCAATGTTACACATCACTGAACACGCTGGTCAACAATGACACTAATTTCAATCTATGTACTGCAAAAAAATCTTTGTTTCAATAATTGTGTATAAATTTATTTCGGGATTAAACAATTTTGAATATAATCTGAGGGTTCCATTCGCGTGATTTACAGATGTACACTGGAACATTTATATAACAATATACTTAAAACTGAGAATCTAAATGATATTTAAATTGGCAAGTCATTGAAAAAAAATCATGACTGAAATATAATACTCGGCAATATTTCACAAAGATTTTTTCAAAAGCTCCAGTACTTAAAAAAAATGCATTCAAAGTATAGTATGGGAATCGGCCTTGCTCTATAATTAATAAGATCTATTTAAAGCTAATTCTGGTAGAAAAT